TCCTGACTATGCCCACACTGTGAAAGTCAACAGAATAAGAACCTGGCTACATCACTCCCACATCAAGCCTGCAGGACAAGAGATGACCCAAAAGCTGCACCAATGTTGAGATAAACTGCCCAATGAACCCCAGATGAGGAAAATAGAAAGTTCAATGACACCTGAAAGATCCACTGAAGCTTAGGGTCTACAAACCTTCACTCTAGTAACTCCTGTAACCTTAACTCTGGCCAAGGTGCTTTGTTTCCTGATCTGGTCTTTGACTCATGAACACTAGATGATGGGACTTGGACCCCATGGGCCATATAAGGAGATGCCAATACCCAGCCCAACGCAGTGTATTGAGAAACTACCTTCTACATCTGCTCTGGAGGAAGGAGATCTAGGTCACAACGGACTATGTGTGGAGGACCAGGGTCATATTTCTGTGCAAACTGGGGCTATGAGTCAATTGAGACTGTCTCCTGAACGCCACCAATAAGAGATGACCTTATCACAGTCAAAAGGGACCTGGATTAAACTCACAAGGACGGAGATACGGACTGCAGCCTAAACTCTATGCAAACAGTCTCTGGTAACTATGGTCCTTCTTTGACTGTAACCCCATCACAGTCCACCTCACCCCCCAAGGAATGGGGAGCAGGAAAGACCTGGAGACTATGGCTTTATGTACCTGGATATGATTATGGGGTATTATTCACAATTCAACTCATCACCCAGCAGGTCCAGTTCATATATGGGGTGCCACTGGGCCCAAACTCAGCCTTGTCACACATTAAGGTACCCTCCCAGAAATTTGAGCCCACTGCAAAGATCACCCAGACCCTGGGACCCAAGACAATTTGGTCACAGCCTATGACTATAGACGAGGAGCTACAGCCTAGGACGGGGCCTTGGGACCTCCTCTGGGCCATATATCAGGTACTAAATGTTTCTAGGTCCAAGCTCACCATTGAATGTCAGCTCTGCTTAGATATAAAGCCACCCTACTATGAAGGTATAGCCATTCCTGGAAACTATACTTCTGCTGAGAGCAAGGCTTGCTGCTGGCAAGACCTAGGTAATGGAAGGTTAACCCTTGGACTAGTTAAAAGAAATGGGTTTTGTGTTGCAAAAGAAACATGGTCAGTCCCATAAGCTCATAGCCACTTATATAATATCACGCAGGAGGTCTCAAACGAAGAAACTTACATTGTACACCCCCACCCCCACAACAAGACCTGGTGGGCATGCTCTACAAGATTAGCCCCGTGCATCCACATCCAAGCTCTCAGCCGCACTGATGGGTTCTGTGTACTAGTCCAACTTGCCCCCCAAATCCTTCACTATTCAGATGAAAAAATGAAACAGTAAACTGTCCCTGCCCCCAGTCACTCAAACTAAATGAGCTGCCACTGCTGCGGTCCAGGTACCAACCTTGTTAGGACTCTGCATCACTGGTGTGGCAGAGGTGGGCACTTCGGCCCTCATTCTCCAAGACGGCAAAAAGCTTTTTTTTTATTTTTATTTTTATTTTTTTTTTTTTGGTTTTTCAAGACAGGGTTTCTTTGTGTAGCTTTGGAGCCTGTCCTGGAACTTGCTTTGTAGACCAGGCTGGCCTCGAACTCACGGAGATCTGCCTGCCTCTGCCTCCTGAGTGCTGGGATTAAAGGCATACACTACCACTGCCCAGCAATTATAAAGCTTTAAGTATGGCTATAGATCAGTCAGAAAAGTTCATGTCAGGATTGGGGATTTAGCTCAGTGGTAGAGTGCTTGCCTAGCAAGCACAAGGCCCTGGGTTTGGTCCTCAGCTCCAGGAAAGAAAAAAAGAAGAAGGAGGAGGAGGAGGAGAAGGAGGAGGAGGAGGAGAAGGAGGAGGAAGAGGAGAAAGGGGAGGAGGAGGAAAGAAAGAAAGAAAGAAAGAAAGAAAGAAAGAAAGAAAGAAAGAAAGAAAGAAAGAAAGAAAGAAAGAAAGAAAGAGAGAAAAGTTCATGTCACACTTAGAAGCTTCCCTAATGTCCTTGGTCAAAGCTACCCTCCAAAGCCAGCGAGGATTAGATCTCTTGTTCCCACAAGGGCGACTATGCCTAGCATTGGGAAAACAATGTTTTTATGCTAACCACTTAGGAGTCATAAAAGAATTTCTGTCTCTCAGTAGAAAAAATTACACAAAAGAGAAAAACAAAAGACTCAAGACAAAAATTGGTTCAATCCTTATTCTCTTGGTCACCATGACCATCACCCTCATCTCATTCCTAATGGGACCCCTAATTCTCTTCTTGCTTGCATTAATTTGTGGTCCCTGTATAATCAATGCTCTGGTATGGTTTGTTAAAGATAGAATTTCTACCATACAACTCATGGTTCTCAAGTCCCAGTACATCCCCCTCACATCTCCCATGGACAAATGTGATATGCAGCTAACTCAAAGACTTGAGTAACTATCTACTCAAGGAGGAGGAAATGAAGGGACCAGAACGTGATTCTATCTTAGACACAGAACAACTCTATTGTAGAAAATTACATAAGCCTGACTCCAGGAAGTCCCTCAGTCAAGTTTAGCCTATCAGCTAAACAGTTCCAAACCTGGTCTTATAAGGCTGAGAGACCCAAAGTCACAGAATATGGTTGTTACTGACCGTATATGACTAAAAAGGTCACAATGGATGAAATGGTTACCAGCCCCAACCAATCTACATGTGCCCCATGTAACTGCTCCTTGACTGCCCAATTAGAACAGAGATTAGCTCAACATACTTAGAATTCCCCCAGTTCACTATAAAAGGGGCTACATGCCTTTGTCCTGGTTTGACATTGCCATTTTGTATGGATGATCGACTTCTGCATGCTCACTATTTCTGCAGAATAAACACTGTATTTGCATACTATTTGAATCTGGGGTCTTTAGGGATTATCTTTAAACCCTTACAATTAAAAAAACTTTTTACCTTAAGACAGTATGTTTAGAAGCTGAAGATATGATGGTTCCATGGTTAAAAGAACAAGCTGCTCTTGCAGAGGACCCAGGCTCAACTCTCAACACGTACATGGTGGCTCACTAATACCTGAAACTCCAGTCTCAGGGAACCTGATGCCCTCTTCTGGCCTCCAAAGGCACTAGGCCCATATGTGGTGCACAGACACACAAACAGGCAAAACACTCATATACATAAAAAGAAAGAAAAGAAAAAAATTGAATAATCAAATGCTAAAGAAAAAAGGTAGTAGATTTTTTAAGGATCAATAAAAGATGTGGTGATCCATCTTTTCAGAATCCTATTTAAAAGTAAATGAAGTATCATTCACTTCGCTTGTAAAAAAAAAAAAAAAAATTGATAGCCAGGCGGTGGTGGCACACACTTTAATCCCAGCACTCATGAGTCAGAGGCAGGCAGATCTCTGTGAGTGCAAGGCCAGCCTGGTCTACACAGTGAGTTCCAGGACAATCAGGACTGCAGGACTGTTTCACAGAGAAACCCTGTCTCAAAAAACAAAACAAAACAAAACAAAACAAAACAAAACAAAAAAAAAAAAAAAAAGCTTAATGGCATGGAAAAACCACAGCTAATCACAGACAAATAGGAAAAGTAAGTACAAGATGAACAGGCCAATGAGGGCTTCAGAGGTACTGCCCTCACCTCAATTTGCAAATTCTCAATGTATATCTGCAACTTATTTCAGAAAAAGCACATCAGGAAAGAAATAGAATGGAGGCATGTGAGGAAACAGACCACGTGCTTCATCTAACACAGGGTTCTTAAACGCCTCACAGTGCAATCCCGTCTGCCTGAGAAACTACACATGAGTATATAAAACAGATGAGCTGCAGAGATGGCTGAATGGTGAACATTGCTGCTTTTCCAGGTTCCATTCTCAGTACCCACATGGTGGCTCACACAGGGACAGCCAGGGCTACCTAGAGAACCCTATCTCAAAACAAAACAACACAAAAAGCTACTGCTTCATGGGATCCAACTCCAGTTCCATGGGATCCAATGTCCTCTTCTGGCCTCCACAGACACTAGGCACACATGTGGTGAACAGAAATACACGCCAGCAAAACACCCATACAAATAAAATAAAATAATAAAAATTTTAAATAGATAGACTAATCAAACATTTACTGATAATAAGTCTTTAAAAATTAAATTAAAACAATTCTTTAGTAGCCAGATGTGGTGGCACACATCTTTAATCCCAGCACTTGAGAAGCAGAGGCAGGCAGATCTCTGAGTCCAAGGCCAGCCTGGTCTACATACTGAGACTCTGTATTTTAAAAAACAAAATAAAACAACAACAAAAAAATGCAGCAACAACATAACTCATTTTGGTATACATATAATTTTGTTATTTGTTAAGACAAAAGTAATTTATGTTCTAATGAGATGAATGTGCTTATCTACCACAATACAACCCAAAGTTGTATTAATTAATTTGATGGGTGCTAAGGAACAACAGTAGGGAAAATGTGACCTCTTTGATTGCCACAATTAAACCACAATGCTTCTGCACAGCAGAATACTGTAAGTACATGAAAACATTGCAGCTGGAACCTACGCTAATCTGGAATTTGAGGTGCTTCAGGCAGTTGACGAGGGTGGTGCATGGCAGGAGGGCGTGTGCAGCATCAAACACACATGCTGTGTGCTCAGCACGGCTGGAGTGAAGCCATGGACAACATGGACAAGCACTCTCTCCAGTGCACTAGCATTTGATTTGACATTGTTTGGTCCTTGCATGCTCAGAAACCTTGCTCTAGTGTCAAATTTTCAAACCCCACATTCAGTCACAAGATACAACATGAGATCTTGAGCCACAGTTTAAGTATCTTTAGAATACTGAATCAAATACACTTCTCTGTATGATATACTTACCAATTTTTTCCTTTATTTTACTGACAAACTCAAAAATTAACTGAGCAGCAATGCCAGTGAACCAGCTGCTTGAAACCACATCTTTCAAACTGAAGGCGAACCCCCACCTCATTCACACACAAAACAGATGTCTAAGACACTAACCAATTTGTACTTGTTCGGGCTGGCTGAGAGAAACGAAGGCTGACGTGTCATCAATCCAGGATATCTGAATGTTACCTGTTAATAACGAATTAAAAACAGAATTAAAAACAAAGTGAGCATCTGAGCATTTAGAGAATCACACAATAGACTCCGTCCAGCATATTCCAGTAGAGTCCAGACAGATGAAGTATTGCTGTAAGACTGGAAACCTCAGCACTGGTCAGCTTACTGAAAATTTTAGTCCACTACTTACTTCTGAGATGGCTTAGCCTAAGAGCACTTGCTGTGCTAGCATGAAGTTCTAACTTCAAACCCCTAGCACCCACATAAAAAAAGCCAGGCCTGTAACTTCAGCACTGGGGGCAGGAAACAGCAGGATCTCAGAAGCCCATTGGCCAGCCTAGGACAGTTTCAGGTTCAGTGAGAGATCCTGTGCCACAGCAGGACACTCAACCTCCTCCACTGGTATATGAGGAGCATGTACCGTGTGTGTGTGTGTGTGTGTGTGTGTGTGTGTGTGTGTGTGTGTGTGTGTGTGTGTGTGTGTTTGATTCTAGCAGCCATGTAAAACGGTAAGCACAATTGAGTGGGCCTATATGCCCAGAGCTGGAGAGGTGGAGATGGGCAAATCCCTGGAACTCTTGGGCCAGCAAGCCTAGCAAAATTGGTGAGGTTTGGGTTCAGTGATAGACCAAGCATCAAAACACTAAGGTTGAGAGAGGGCCAGTGAGATGACTTAGTGGGTAAATGCACTTGCTGCCAAGACCTGAGTTGGCTCTCCGGAACCCACATGGTAGAAGAGAACCAACTCTTATAAGTTGTCCTCTGGCCTTCATATACATGCTATGGCATATGTTTGTCCACACAAAATAAATATAATATTTTTAAATCTTAGAAAAATAGTAGAGATTTAATTGAGGAAGATATCTGACATCAAGCTCTGGACTTCACACACACACACACACACACACACACACACACACACACACACAAACAGTGATAATAAATTTTAAAACTTAAAAAGAAAGAAGCTTAGCTACAAGGGCATGCCACAATTCTGTCCAATCTTATGCCAGGATCAGAAGTTGTTTATCTTTGAAGGTCACTAACAAAACTCAGAGAACTTATACAATCAAACTGTTATAACTACTTCATTTTACAGACTGCTAGTGTTTGGATCTTTTGTCCCTGCCCCATGTTAACACTTAATCTCCATTATCAGGTATTCAGACATTGAAAACATAAAGGGAGAAGCATAATTGACTCATAATACTCAGCGGTGGGGCCTTGGGGTGGCAGGATAAGTTAGCTCATCCAGGGTGGTGCCCTCATGGGAGCACTGGTGGCTGTACAAGAAGAGGGGGTGCTTGTCAGATGCACACACAAGGACCTGTGCTCCTCTCTCATTCCAAGATGCTCTGTACGGCCTGGGGACCCTGACAGCAAGAAGGCTGTGACTCCAAACTACTAGAAAGAACTCTGAGCCAAAATAGACCCCTTTTCCTAACACACCAGGCTGTGGTGAGCTTCCAACAGCAACCAAAAGTAGGCTGCTCCAAAGACTCAGACTGAAGATGAATGTTGAAGTTGAAGGGAATGTGATAAATAAACACTACCGACAGAAGGGAAATTCAGTGTTGAAATCAGGCCAGGAAATGAGTGTGGAGGACAAGGAAAAGAAGGATGCAGACAGGGAAAGCTGCTGAGACAGCTCAGTGGATAAAGGAGATTGCAGCCAAGCTTGACCATTTCCAAGATCCACATGGTGAGAGGAGTGAACTGACTCCTACAAGCTGTCCTCTGACTTCCACATGTGATCCATCGCTGCATGCATGCACACATGCACGCACACCTGTAATTTAAAAATTGAGAATTTGGAGAGAGAAAAACCAAGACAGGATGATAGGGAGAAACAGTAGGAAAAAGTACTACAATGAAGCAAACAGTATATGAGGGCAGAAAGGAACCCAGAGCCCCGGAGTCTGAAGAGGAGAACCTGCAATTCGAATCACTGTCCTTGGGAACAGACAGAGCACCAGACTTTAAAAATGGGCAGAGACCCTCAGCAAAGGAACTTTCTAGACACATGCCTGCTTTCACATAAGGTGTTCGTTCTGGGTTGTTTTTAACTTAAGAGGTAATGTGAAGCATGAATTATAAGTGGTATTAATAATAAAAACCCGGATATGCTCATTTTGAAAAGACAGCAAAGCTTATAAAACAAAAAGACCGGGCTGCAGAGATGGCTCAGTGGTTAAGAGCACTGACTGCTCTTCCAGAGGACCCAGGTTTAATTCCCAGCATCCACATGGCAGCTTACAACTGTCTGTAATTCCAGTTCCAGGGTACCCAACACCCTCATACAGATATACATGGAGGCAAAGCACCAATGTACACAAATAATATTTAAAACAAAACAAAAAACCATATGTAAAATACTCCATGGCATGGTTGGAGAGATGGCTCTGCCATTAAGGGCACTGACTGCTCTTTCAAAGGACCTGGGTTCAATTCCCAGTACCCACATGGAGGCTCACAACTGTCTGTAACTGCAGTATCAGGGGATCCGATGCTCTCTTCTGACCTCCAGGGCACTGCATATACATGGTGCTAATACAGAAATGCAGACAAAAAAACCATACAGATTTTTTAAATATATAATAATAAAATACTCAGTGGTGAATGCTGAATGCATCTTCCATCACTTCCATCTGCTTTCTCATCTTAATTTCATAATTAAAATAGTGTTAATTATGCAAGATCCTATTCCATATCCTCTTTTTAATCTAAGTACTAAAATACAGTTTGAGACTGGGCAGTGGTGGCGCACACCTTTAATCCCAGCACTCGGGAGGCAGAGGCAGGCAATAGACTGGTCTACAGAGCGAGATCCAGGACAGACACCAAAACTACACAGAGAAACCCTGTCTCGAAAAAAAAAATACAGTTTAAATTTTTTTTTTAATGTTTATACCTCTGCATATATTGTTTTATTCATTACTGTGCCGGATGGTTTTATGCCAACATAAGCTAAAGTCATCTGAGGGAAGGGACCTCAATTAAGAAAAATGCCTCCAGAAGACAGGGTTATACACAACCCTGTAGGGCATTTTCTTAATTAGTGATTGATGAGGGAGCAACCAGCCTATTGTGTGTACGGCCATCCCTGTGCTGGTGGTCCTGGGTTCTAGAAGAAAGCAGGCTGAGCAAGTCATGGGGGTTGAGCCAGTAAGCAGCACTCCTCCATGCCCTCTGCATCAGCTCCTGCCTCCAGGTTCCTGCCCTGATTGAGTTCCTGTCCTGACTTCCTTTAGTGATGGACAGTGATGTGGAAGTATAAGCCAAATCAAACCTGTCCTCCCCAACATGCTTTCGGGTCATGGTGTTTCATTGTAGCAATAGAAATACTAACCAAGACAATTGCTATTGTGTCTATTACAGAAGCTACAGCACACATGTGGAGGTCAGAGACAACGCGTGGAGTGGAGTCGTGTCTCTCCTTCCACTTTAACATGGGTTCCAGGTATTGCACTCACATCACCAGGCTTGCACAGCAAGCACCGAGCCGTCTCATCAGCCTGTGAATATTCCCTTAAATGTCTGCACAGTTACATCTTTTGAGGATATACAAGTATTACTAGGCATCCTACTACTGACCAGTTTTCCGCTTTCACTTTATTCCACCAAAGAGAATATACAGCTTCAATACTTCACTTGTTAAAATAACAAACCTGTACATTCACAAACCCTGAGAGGTCTAACCACATGATCTGTGACCTAAGAATTAGGTTATCAAAGATTTAATCTGGATCTTAATATTTTCAATTTTTCAAAGTCTTTATTACTTATCACTTAGTAGTAAATGTTATCTGAGGTTTTGTTCACTTTTTTTTTTTTTTTTTTTTTTTTTTTTCTCGGAGCTGAGGACCGAAGCCAGGGCCTTGCGCTTGCTAGGCGCGATCTGCCACTAAGCTAAATCCCCAACCCATTTTGTTCACTTTCTTTATGGCAATGCTAGGGATGGAATCCAGGGACCTCTACCACTGAGTGCCACCTTCAGCCCTTCAATGATACATACATAAATATTTGATTTTTAATATAAAAAAAGAATGAGAGAAACTGCCTACCTTACACACATCTGGAGTCTTGGTCTGCTCAGACATCTGTGTTTGTTGCTGTCAGTATTAATCTCATGTAGAGACTGCTTGTCAGTATTAAACAGTCTCTCTGAATTTAATCTTAAAAATTATTTACCCTGATTTAGGTTTGTTTTCCTCATCAGCAGTGAGGCAGTCACGGTGATGGCCCATCTAAGTGTCAGCCAGGGTTACACGTCGCACCTCAGATCCCATTAGAACAGAACAAGGCTGTGCCTGGACTTAGAATCCCTTTCACCCCTCCTCTGACCATCTCTACTACAGGACAAAGGCAAACCTTCAAACAGCTGTCACACTGTTCTCGACTCACCAAAGGCGCTGAAGAGCTGGTAAAGGTCGCTGGTTTTCCACTCTTTGGGGAATGTCACGTGGAGAACATGATCACGTTTAGGCTGCACTACAAAAGTGGCAGAAGGACGACAGTTAAGACATGATCCGAGCACTGGCGAGGGACCAGCTCAGTCACCGAGACACTTGCCACACAGGCATGAGGCCTGTGCCTGGCCTCCAGACCCCATAAAAAGGTAGACATGGAGGACTATGCTCCAAGTGCCAGTACTGGGGAGGGGTAAACAGGACTCTCTGGCCAATAGTCTATCCTAATCAGTGACCTCCAGGTGGACACTGGGTCTCAAAGAACAAGGCGAACAGCTCCTGAGGAACAAGAGCCAAGCTGGCTTCTAGCAAGGGACCAGGCAAGTCAGTGATTTTCTGATTGCCTCAGCCCACAGAATGCAAGGATTCTAAGCATGCACCACCACAATGGCAAGTATGGATTCTTTAATTAAACTAGCCCATACTACCTTGAAGAATTAACACAGATGTTTCATGGTTACCAAACAACTCCTAAGAGGATCAGTAGAAGTCTTACCACTATGTAGACAGAGCCGACACAAAGACACAGTAATCCTGCCTCTGCTCCCAAGTGCTGGGATTCCAGAGGTACATTTCCACACCCAGGAATTAGCAGGCTGTTCTTACATGTCAGGTAACCCACAACAATTTCATTTAAAAAATTAACTTGCTAAATTTAAATATATGCATAAGTAACTAGAAAACAGAAAATTTAACAAATTACTGATATAGACAGCATATTTTAAATATGTATTGGAAATGATTCTACTTTGTGGAGGATGAAACTATGAACATATATTTTTTTCCAGGCTATGAGACATATTTATATAGCCTGGAAAATGTAATGAAGGCCCAAGGGTCCCCTGAACTTTTAAGTATGCAATCCCGACCAACCACAAACCACTGCCCATGTTTAAGTAAAAAAGCTCTTTTGTCAGCCCTTTTTTCCAGGTAACCGTTTCAGACTGCACTCTGACAACAAAGATGTAATGGGGAAATCAAAGTATACTCACAGTCTGGCCCTTCCAAGTTCAGATAGGGAATGTCCATGACCCGCATAAGAAATAACCTACCAAGAGAGAAACAAACAAGCAGGCAGGTAACAAACTAATTTATTTAAAAAAATCTATTCAAATGTTAGCAGAAGCTACTTGTCACTGTGTGGTTTGGATAAGAATGGCCTCCATGGGCTCCTGTTTAATTACATAGTCCTCTGCTGGTGGAAATGTTTGAGGAGTAACAGCTGTGGTCTTGTAGGAAGAAAAACTTATGCCATGACCCGTGTGCTCTCTCTGCTCCCTAAGTGCACATTCCCGCCACTACGCCTCCTTTGTTCCGCCATGATAGACTCCAACACTCTGAAACCATTAGCCCAATTAAGTGCTTTCTTCTATAAGCTGCCTAGGTTATGGTGTTATTATCTCACAGCAATAGAGAAATAACAAATGCACTTATTCTATTTCAAAAAAAAAATAGGATTCTTAAAATTCACTTCAGAGATTTTTTTCCTCTTGAGCTAAATATTTATCATAAAGATAAAAATACAAATTGTGGTATTTCAAATACCTACAACAATTCCAGGTACTCAGTAGTTTCTCAAAAAATACCAACTAGATTAATGAAATTTTTAATGAAAAATTGAAAGGAAACCCTGTGTGGAGCACTGTCCTACTAGTTAGTCCAAAGAAACAATGAGAAAACAAATACTAACTCCTTACCAACATATGAAAAGGTTCCTATACAGTCATATTTGTGAGGGGAGGATGACATTCATTTATTTTTATTTTTATTTTTTTAATGAAATACAAAGTCACTGGGTATAGGGTAAATCCCAAAGACTAAAGTAAGTGACTGTCTTCAAATGTTCACATTATTATTGTCATGTAAAATATATCTGAAGCACAAAACAAAATAATCCTTGATAAAGAAAGTTACCATGGGGCTAGGGAGATGGCTCAATGGGTAAGAATATTTGCTGTGCAAGCCTGAGAACCTGAATTCAAATCCCCAGCATCCATGGACAACGCCAGGTATGGCTGCACACACCTATAACACCAGCACTAAGGGAAAGAGGAGTCACTGGGGCTCGCTGGTTGCCAGCAAGAGAGATACCCAATATTGTCCTCTGGCCTCCACATGTACACAGGTACACTCATCCACCTGGCCACACAGCCTGTCTCTCATACATACATGTGCATAGACCCCACACACACGACTATCACACAAATATCAAGCATAGCAAGCATTTTATGTATAGTTTCTGAAATGGATACAAAGGCACACTTAAAAAACAGTATTCATAGCCGGGCGGTGGTGGCGCACGTCTTTAATCCCAGCACTCGGGAGGCAGAGCCAGGTGGATCTCTGTGAGTTCGAGGCCAGCCTGGACTACCAAGTGAGTCCCAGGAAAGGCGCAAAGCTACACAGAGAAACCCTGTCTCGAAAAACCAAAAAAAAAAAAACAAAACAAAAAAAAAAACAAAACAGTATTCATTAATTACATCTGTCTGCAATGTCTTTCCATTTTCTTTCAGGAGTTAAATCATGAACAAAAACAGGCTTTCTGTTGTGTCTAGGATGATACTAATGAGTTCTACTACTTGGATAACAATGTGTTGTGTGTTTCCGTTAGAAGAGCTATTATGCAGCAAATTAAAAAGACAATCTAAGTGCCCAACAAGCAATTAGTTTGGCTTCAGTGACCTGCAATTAAGGCACATATTACCAGGCGTCAAAAGCAAACAGGGTATGATTAGCTCACAGATGAACCATCAGCAGAACAGCTCTGTCCTGCACTGTCAAAAAATGAGCTCACAGTGGAGAACTTGTTTGGCCTCCAATATAATAAACCAGGTCCTACAGCTAAGAAATCAAATTTCTTTTTAGCTCACAAATATAGTATAGATCTACTCTCTGCTGATATAAACTGTCCCCCAAACGAATTGATGTTCCTCACAGTGTTAGGCGGTGACAGAACACAAGCACACATCACAGCAGATCCGACTGACTGGGCAGCTGTCGTTATCTCCGTCACCCACAGCAATTTTATACTCTGAATAACTTCCAATTCTCTTTTTAGTAGAATTAGGTAGTCTCCCCAAATCTCAAAATAAAATTAAAAATAAAACAAAAATAATCACTTCAGACCAACAAAATGGCTCCACAGGTAAAGGTGTTTGCCATACCAGCCTGGCGGCCTGAGTCTGATTCTCCAAAATCATGTAAAGGCAGAAGGAGAGAAATGATACCCCAAAGATAATCTTAACAAACATGCTGTGGTAAAAAACACTCACATTTACAGCATGGACACATGTACAATAATAATAAATGTTTGAGGCCGGGCGGTGGTGGCGCACGCCTTTAATCTCAGCACTCGGGAGGCAGAGGCAGGCGGATCTTTGTGAGTTTGAGGCCAGCCTCGTCTACAAAGTGAGATCCAGGAAAGGCGCAAAGCTACACAGAGAAACCCTGTCTCGGGGGGAAAAAAAAAAGCAACACATCTAAATAATAATAATAATAATAATAATAATAATAATAATAATAATAATAATAATAATAAATGTTTGAAAATTACAAATTGGGCCTGGAGAGTGGCTCAGAGATTAAGAGCACTGGCTGCTCATGCAGAGGACCTGGATTTGGTTCCTAGCAGCCACATAGCAGCTAACAACTGTTGGAAACTCTAGTTCAAGGGGATCCGATGTCCTCTTTTGAACCCCGAGTACCATGCACACACGGTACATATATAGAAATGTAGACAAAACAACAATAACCATATAATAAAACTTTAAAAATTCTGTGGGGAAAAAAAAGGAGGCTTCAGAAAAATATATAACAGAACTGGAGAGATGGATGGAGTGCTTGTTGCTCCTCCAGAGGACACAGGTTCAGTACCCAGAACCCAAACAACAGTTCACAACTATCTATAACTATAGTTCCAGAGGATTAAAGGCCTTCTTCAGGCATGGAACTATAACTATAGTTCCAGAGGATTAAAGGCCTTCTAAGGGCACCAGGCATGCCTGTGATGTATAGACATATATTCATACTTTCATGTACATAAAATAAACCTTAAAAAGAAGTTTTTAATTATCATTTATTATCCTTTTGCTAAGATCAAGATATAGAAGTTAATGAATGGCAGGATAGTAGAGATTAATTGTAGATCACTTGCCTAATATATGTGAAGTCCTGAGTTCAATCTCTAATACCATAAAATAAAAAAATTTAAAGACAAGGATCATACATATGGTAATTTAAAATTTTAATCTAAATTTCAAAATTAGAAGTTGAGTTGGGTATCGTGGCCCACATATATAATCTCAACACTCATGAGGCAAAGGCAGGTAGATAAAAGTAAGTTCAAGGCCAGCCAGGGGTACAAAGTAAAATCCTCAGACCCTGAGACTCTGTCTCAAGAAAAAAAAAAAAAAAAGTTGAATCAGTAAAATGGTCATTGCTGTGCTATAAACAAAGCAATAATCAAAGTTAACTGGCTATTGGGAGAGTAAAGGTTATCAACAGTCTTTTGTTCGGTTTTGCTTTTTTTTTTTTTTAATGCCGAATGCTGTTTATTGAAGGAGGGAAGAGGTCTTAAATACAGGCTTACAGCACAATTGGAGAACCCCAGAGGGCAGAAATTCGCTATGGATGTTTTACAATCTTGCATCTAAGCTGTTAACACCCATTATGCAAGATACACAGACAAGGAACTTCCCTTAAGCATTTAGGAGGGTGGAACCAGGCAGGGAATTAGCATAGGGAGGATATCAAGGTCAAGGTCAGCAAGCAAGGCAACAGTTACCCAAAACAGGGGCCAGGGACCTGCAGGTCCCCCTTTTACTAAAAAATGAGCTTCTGACTTAGGTTGTGTGGGACATCAGCAGGTCACCTTACCCATCATGGAGACGCCTGCCCAGGCCACACAGGCATTCCGTCTTAGGTTGGTGAACACCCCCCAGGTATTACCTGTCTCTGAATACTCATTACCACACAGGCTCAATCATGTATGAGCTGCAGAGTTAACTGCTGCCAAAGATCTCAAAGTGGCCCTGGGCTTGCTTTTTGAGACAGGGTTTCTCTGTGTAGCCCTGGCTGTCCTAGAACTCACTATGTAGACCAGACTGGCCTCAAACTCACAGAGATCCGCATGCCTCTGCCTCCTGAGTGCTGGATTAAAGGCGTGCACCACCACCGCTGCCCTGGCCATATCAACAGTCTGAACCCCCCCCACGCGTGAACTACAACATCAACTAACCAGGTAAGATGTGCCCAGCAGGGCAGCAGTGGTGGCGCTGTTACGGATGCAGCAGCACATTCTCTGATTGGCTGCGGGGCCTACTTCCCAAGAAGAGAGTTGAGCCTAATACAACAAACCTGAGCAGAAACCTCTGACTCAGGAGGTCCTGAGCTCTAAGAGTAACCTACTATTGCTGCTTAGCTAAACTAGAAAGCATCAAACTGCCTTTTAAATACTTATATTTATACCCATAGACAAAGGCTACTCTTGACACTGTCTAGGGTCCACTATAATTAAAGAATTAAAAGGTAGGAAAGAATTATCACCAAAAATCTTGGGAAGGTCCAATGGAACCATCACAATACAAGGGAAATCAGGGTCCCCTCTTGGGGTTCTTCATCTTATTAATAAAAGAACTTAAGAAAGGACACAAATGGAAGCTCAGAAGCAAAGAGGCAAAGACACAAGAATCTTAAGGACAAATCATTACAGTTTAAAAAGAAAACCCCCAGAGCAGGCAAGCTGTAAATCTTGCAGCTGCCAGGGAAGGAGGGGGAGAAATGGAGAAGAGAAAGAACAAAAGCCATGTGTCTGAGATAGGGACGCATGGAGGTCAGCCACCTGGCAGCAGGCAGTCGCACAACAGGGAAGAGAGCTTTAGAAGGAGCAAGGAGGCCCAAAGCATTAGTTTGAGTTTAAAAGCATACTTGGGCTCTGGCCAGTATCTGAAAGAAAAAAGAAGAAAAGGAAACAGTTATGCCTTTCTAAGGAAGGGCTGGCAGACCCAGCCAAAGATCATGGCAGCTCATGAGGAGTGTATTAAGGGGCAG